GCATCCCAAAACCAGCCCAGCTCGTCCCCGCCTCCCTAACCTGTCCGTCCTTTTTCCCACCTATCCACTCCTCCCATCTCAACCCCCACCCCCACTTCCTACCTACCAGCCTCCTTGACCTGTCCGTCTTCCCTGGACTGACCAACCCCCACCTACACTCTCCTTTTACTGGCTCCATGCCCGCCTCCTTGACCTGTCCGTCTCCTGTCCACCTATCTGCTCCTTTTATCCATCTTCCAACCGCCTTCCCCTCTCTCCCTCTCTCTTTCAGAATCCCCTTCCCCTCCCCTGTTTCTGAAGAAGGGTCCAGACCCGAAACGTCAGCTTTCCTGCTCCTCTGATGCTGCTTGGCCTGCTGTGTTCATCCAGCTCTACACCTTGTTATCTCAGATTCTCCAGCATCGGCAGTTCCCACTATCTCTCAAGGAGAAATTGTTATTTAGCAACTTGAAATTGTCAAATTAGTAACGTATTCTTGAATTTGATTTTGTTCCTTTGTTTTTCCAGGCACTGTTCAAAGCCTTGGGTCTCAATGAGAATGATTACAAGTTTGGTCTTACCAAAGTCTTTTTCAGACCTGGCAAGGTAATGAAAGTCAACATTTTATGAATGCTTAGAAATCTGTTTCCTGCTTCAGGATACCAAATTCAAAATCCATTTTATAATTGGAGACAAGAAGAGGATAATATACTCAAAGGAGCATAGAATGAAGCCATGTGAGTTGAACTGAGGAAGTGGCTATCTTACAGACAGAGAGTTCAGAGTATGATTGGATGGCCATCCGGTTCTGTATGAAGTATGAGACTCTTTAGAGTATGCATCACACACAAACTGTTCTTAACAGTAGAGACTGTTGGAAATGACGACACCTTGAAGGAATGCAGTGTGGCCCAAGGTATCAACTGGAAAAGGAATGCACAAAGGAGAATAGCAGAGGATAAGTGCAATTATTCTAGAATATTCCATTGTTAGTAGAACAGTCATTTTTGTAACTCATTAGTCTAGCATTTGTTGCCTACCTGATCCCAGAGTAAATGATGTGACAGAGAGACAGTTTTATCATTGGAAGGGAATATGCAAAATATTCTGGTACACAACAGTATCAGTGCAAACTGGGGAGAGTACGCATTGAGGTCTGATTGCCAGGTTTTTAATCTGAAACTAGGTAGTAATCTCTGGCGCTGTATCCACAAATCCTCAGATTTTGAAGCAGTCCATGTCCGTCCATCCATCTAGACTTGGACAACATTTGGACTTGGGATGATAAATGTCGAATAACATGTATATCACACAAGTGCCAAACAATGATCATCTCCAACAAGAGAAACTGAACTGCAACAGCCTTACAAGTATTGTGGATACAAGAATAGGTCAGAGGGTGGGAATTCTGTAGCGAGTGCGGTGGTTGTGCCTATGACACGTGGACTGTAGGGGTTCAAAATGACCGGTCACTGCTGGTCTTCAATGGGCAATTTGCAATAATGGCCTTGCTAGCAATCTCCACATGCAATGAATGAATAAGAAAATACTGTCTTGCACACTAATCTTTAATTCTTGACCCCTCCAGGGCCCATGCTAGCCTGGCCACGTTTTAGGAGGGATTTACACTATGTAGAGCTACTGTCTTACAGACCAACTGGTTATGATTCTTTTCTCTGACTGAAAGAAAAGTTGTGAAAAGAAAAAGTTGGGAAGAGTGCGTAACTGTAAGTTATGATAATCTGGAATACATGATGTAGAAGGGCCATGAAAGCAAATTTGGAAGTAACTAAGAAATCTTGAAGGAGTAATAATTAAGGGCTGTGGGGACAGGTCCAGTATATGCATTTAATTAGATAGCTCTTTACAAGCACTGACGTAAAAGGTAAAATAGCTGCTTTGTGCTGTTCAATATACTGATTTTAAAGCATAAATATCTTGCTTTGATTAAAAGTATATTGAATTGTCATTAGGGAGGTGCTAATAAAAGTAATATAATGTCACTGCAACCTGGATCAATCAGTCAAAATGAAGGATCACTTGATGGAGCATAATCATTTGAAAGATTGATCCTTCATCAATCGCAGACCTATCTGGCAGCTCCAGTGACTGCTTTATCTGAATTGTGTTTGTTGTTCAGTTTGCAGAGTTCGATCAGATCATGAAGTCTGACCCAGAACATCTATCAGTGTTGATGGCACGTGTGAATCACTGGCTTATTTGCAGCCGTTGGAAGAAGATTCAGTGGTGTGCACTGTCTGTCATTAAATGTAAGTTTAAGTGTAGTGGTCGTGCTTTTTGTGGAACTTATTTTTGTGTCAATATTTCTCGACACTGCATTTACATTGTGTGTAAAATATGTATATTTAGATATTGTCATGAGCAGTAATCCGTAGAGTTGATGTGAATAGGTCATTCTAGGATGTTGGTGTTCTGGAAAAGCTGGCATTTATTTCCCATCCCAATTCGTCCTTCAGAAGATGGTTGGGTGTTTTTCTTCAAACTATTCTAGTACCAGATGCTCCACAGTGCTATCAGGTAGGGAGTTCCACAAATCTGGCTTAGCAGTGACACTATGCTTTCAAGTCCCAACAATGTGACTTAACAATAATTGTACTCGCTACTCATTTCCTCTACCGTTTTAGAGGTCATGTGTTTAGAGCTGCTTAACCATGGCAGCTTTGTGCAGTGATGGAGAGAGTGAATATTTCAAAGTGATGGATGGGGTACTGATTTAAGTGTGCTATTCTGTCCTGAATGATATCAAGCATATGGGTGGCACAGTGGTTAGCACTGCTGCTTCACAGTGCCAGGGACCTGGGTTTAGAACAAAGAACAAAGAAAATTACAGTACAGGAACAGGCTGTTCGGCCCTCCAAGCCTGCACCGACATGCTGCCCATCACAACTAAAGCCCCCTACCCTTCCGGGGACCGTCTCCCTCTCTTCCTATCTTATTCATATATTTATCAAGATGCCCTTTAAAAGTCACTATAGTATCTGTTCCCACTACCTCCCCCGGCAGCGAGTTCCAGGCATCCACCACCCTCTGTGTTTTTAAAAAAAAAAAAACTTGCCTCATACATCACCTTTAAACCTTGCCCATTGCACCATAAACCCATGGCCCCTGGTAACAGACTTTTTCACCCTGGGGAAAAAGCTTCTGACTGACCAGTCTGTCTATGCCCTTCATAATCTTGTAGACCTCTATCAGGTCCCCCCATAACCTCCATCGTTCCAGTGAGAACAACCCAAGTTTCTCCAACCTCTCCTCATAGATAATGCCCTCCATACCAGGCAATATCCTGGTAAACACAGTGTGGAGCTGGAGGAACACGGCAGGCCAGGCAGCATTAGAGGAGCAGGAAAGCCGACGTTTCGGGTCGGGACCCTTCTTCAGAAA